GTGTGGACACAGTCAGAAAGAAGCAGTTAATTAATAAAATTTAAGTCACAGATACCTGATTATGGATGTACTTACATCTGCCAGTTCCTTGATTTGCTTTGCTGACACATCAAATGTGTCTAGTCTTTGAAGGCAAGGCAGGTGATACAATACATGTGTGGAATAATTGCACAGCAGACAAACTGGATTGGTTTTATATTGAGGATCATTCAGACATAGATCCTTTAAACAACGCAGCCTGGTTAAGTTAGTGAGGTCCTAAAACAACAACAATGATAATGTTCAATTAATTAATTAATTGTGACTTTCCATTTCTAAAGGCTGCTTTGAACACTTAAGATCACCCATAATCTAATATCATGTGTTCTAATGATGTGCTTAGATATATTAAAGTGATTTAGATGGCTAACATGTTCTTCTCTAGTGAAAAACATGCTGAATTCCTGAAGAATACATTAATAATAATTAAACAGCAGACTCTATACAACTGTGCATTTTAAATATTTAGTAAACCATGTATTACTGGTTTACTGGAACCTTGGAGCCAGTCACATGAGCACATTTATTCATTAGGAAGTTGCCCCCTCTGCACAGCCCCTTCTGCTAACGATTGTCCCCGGGGTACTGTAGGTCTCTGCTTCCTTCACCCGTCTCCTATACTTACCACCTAGAAATACTGCTCTCAGTCTTCCTTGCCCTCCAGATCTGCTCCCAAAGGCTATGGGATCCCTGTTCATTATAAACAATCACCATGCAATTCCTGATTTTTTGTTGTTTTTTGTTTGTTTTGTTTTTTCCGTAAATACCCTTTCTACTTATTATGATCAACGAAAACCTACCTTTCTCTTGAGGGCCTCAGTTCCTGACAAACTATGGAGGACGAGGGGTTAATAATGCACTCCCAGACAAATGTTTCTCCTTAAAGTCTTTTTATCCTGATGTCTAAAGTCATTGTTTACATTTTCCTTTATTTGTCCTCTGGTCCTTGCTTAACTCTACAGGCTTGCCTCTTTCTGTTTAAGTCGTAACATTTTATGATTTAGCCACCCTGAATCACTTGAATTTTTAAAATGTGCCAGACCCTATCTTGTCTTTAGACCTTCACTCATCCTGCTCCCTTTCAGTGAACTGATCTTTACTCCAATTTCACCTCTTAATCTTTCAGGGACCAAGGCAGGTGTCATCTTCTCTGGGAGCCTTTTTTCATCCCCAAGATTGGGGTAGATGCTCCTCTTAGGAGCTCTCTTAGCCACTGGGCTTAGCTTTGTTATGGAATTTATGATATCCTATGGCCAATTGCTTATACACCCACAAGTCTATAAGTCCATATGGGCTTTGGCCCTCAGTCTACAAACTAAGGATGATATTTACATTTTTAAAGTGTTGTAAAAAACTAAAGAATATGCAATTAGAGTCCACATGTGGCCCACAAAGACTAAAATATTTTCTATTAATATTTGATGTTTTACAGAAAAAGTTTGCCAACCTCTGAGATAAACTCTTTGAGAGCAGGGTTTGTGTCTTGTTTAACATTGAATTCCTAACACTCAGCACTTAGAACAAAGTAGGCGCTAAATAAATTTGTAAATTGAATTATTACTTTCTACCAACCTCCAAGATATCCTTACATCTTCCTCATTACCAGGATGAGGCTTGAGGTAGGATGGTACTATGGTGCGATCAAACTTGAAAAGATACTAGTGAGTCAGAATCAGAATTAAGGGAAATCCAAAAGAAGAACTAGGAGGCATTTATTCTAAAGATAAAATATAAATGGAATGGAAAAGAGAGTAGTGAAGTTAGGATGCTAAAATCAAGAATAATTCAGGGTCAGGTGGCCAATGTATTTCCAGACTTTCTCTGGACAAGTGAAAATGTGACTTACTGGCCTGACCTGAGGCTAGAGCTGAGCCCATGGTGGAAGTGGGATTAAGCAGAGTTGCTCTAAAAGGGAGATTTAAGGATAAAGCTGTACAGAGAATTATTTGGT